GACTCAGATGAATGATCAGCAAGATTTAGAAGAACTAAAAGATTTTTAATCTGCAGATCAATAGAAAACCAATGGGAACGACTCAGAGAGGCTTAATAATCGAATTAATTACAGAGACATGAACAGAAAACCAGGGGAAAACTAAACAGCCTGTAGGAAACGCTAGAAAACACAAAATAAAACCTGAAAAACGGGAAGTAAAGCCTGATGACAGATGAACAGATAAAACCTGATGCAGAAAAGCAGCTTATGACGACAAACACAGAAAAACATAAAAGAAAGCGACAAATGATTAAAACCCAAAGAAAAACAACTGCAACCTGGACTTCTAGTAAAAACCAGAGTCAGTCGGATCATTAAAAAGAATAAACTACACTGATAAGGTGGGAATTGGAAGAATAAATGATTAATTTTTTCAGTTTTCTCTAAAATAATGTTGGGTTTAACCGTTATGTGGATTAATGGTCAAATGATCAATAGTCAGAATCCCAAACTTTTTTTTCCAAAAACATGTTTGTGTCCAATGATTGACTCTATTTCTAAATATTACAGTAAATATTTGTGAAATGATGTGTTTTTTTTACCTTTTACATATAACAGACCAAATTATTTAAAATGTATTTTAATTTTTTCTGTGCAGAAAATCCTACACAAAAAACACATTAAATTGCTTTATTTAAAATTTTTTTTACATTTCTCTCTTTTATCTTTTTAAGAAGGTGAATATGTAAATGAACTGTTCATATGTAAATGAACTGTTCATACGTAAATGAACTGTTCAATTCAATTATAAAAGCTGATTGTGCTTATTAAACCAAGCAGATGAAGTTTCAAACAGAAGAAAAATTTCTAATATTTTAATTTCACTTTAAATGGGTCAATTTAACCAACAACGTAATTGAAGGATTGAGATGACAATTATATATTTTTAAAAACCTCAGAAACCAAACAGGCTCATGCTTCTGTCTTCAAATACTTTTTCTGGTTTAAACATCAGCCAGAAAAATCTGAAAAAATGATTTATGGATTGAAAGATAAATATTTACAATTTCTTAGCATCATAAATCAGTATTGGGGACATAAATCCTGAACTGTTGTCATATTCAGATGATAAGAGTTTAAACTCTAATGCTCTGTGAAATAAATAGATTTATTAAATTGCTGCTTTTGAAACTTTTCTGCTGTAATACGGAGCCAGTGGTTGTAAAAGCAGTAATATTTATTATATCTGGTTTAATTCCCACCAACAGACAGGAAAACAGAAGTTTGTTCTCGCTTCTGTCTGCTGCTGGTGTTGGGTATAACCTTCGTCCTGCTGGCGGCGAGCATCAGCATCGTCACCTGGAGTGAGTCTCAGATTCATCATCGTTTATTATCCCTTTTTAGCTTCAGTGCCCCTCTGCAACATGCTGCAGTAACCAGAGGTTAAAGGTCACATAATGACAGCGTGTTTCTGTCGTTTGAAGGCTGTTTAGAAATAAAGAAACAGAAGCGAGAGTCAGCAGGCTGGAGCTGGCGTCTGAGCGGACATGCAGAGAGAAGGAAAAGCTCAACCAGAAGCTCAGATTCATCCTCACAGCCACAAACTTCTCCGAGAAACTTCTGTCCCGCTGGAGGTGAGAAACTCCATTACATATGATTCGATGATTATTCAAGGTTTGAACGAGGAGGATACTGAAATTTGATGTAAATAGTTGTTGTGGTTCTAAGTGTGAAATGTCTTGCCATATTGACAGTGGATACGGCAAGACAGTTACTTAATAATGAAGTGCAGCAGCCTATGATTGTTTTCTCCGGAACGTAACTCTAAATTATTTGAGGAAAATTTGCTTTTTCACAGATTTATTTTTCTGATTTTCTGATTGAAAAAAACTGTTTCCTAGCAACCCCGACAGAGTTCTGGTAACCCAGCAACTCCAACCAAGCCCAACCGTTACCTAGCAACTCAATCTGAGCTCCAGCACGTTTGGTCAGCTGGTTTTCAAATTCAGAAATAGTTTATTGATCCCAAAGGAAGTAAAATAAAGTAGCTTATTGTAGATGCTGATGGCTGAAGGCAGGGCACTCAGTATCGGCTGCTGTTGACTTTCCACTTGGTTGTGCAGCAGGCCCCACTTCTGCTTTTCGAAGAGGTACTGTTGCGTAATTGCAGCCATTTTCACATGTAGGTTGGCCCAGCAGCAGCTCATTTGGATTTAAAGTGACAGAAGCCTTAAAGAGTTCGGCCTGGGCAGAACTGAGCAGAATTTAATCTCTTTGTCTCGGAGGGATTTCTGGGCACAAAATGTTCTGTAGCTCATAAATCTCTCCCTACCTGTTCAAGGAAGCATAATAGGTCACCTTAAGAAGCACAGCATGATAAACTCTGTTGGTTATGCTCTGTGTTAAACTGTGACGGCTGCAGAGTGCTAGCTGTGTCCGGACGGATGGTTCTGGTTCCAGGAAAAGTGTTACTGGATCAGGAATGACACCGAGCTGAACTGGGAAGAAAGTCGTCGGTTCTGTCAGAACAGATCTGCAGATCTGGTTGTTATTAATAATCCACAGCAACAGGTGAGCTGGAAAAACCAATATTAATATATGAATGATTTAAAGTAACCTGAGCATCTAATGACAGCGTTTCTCCACAGACTTTCATCAGTAACCTGAGCAGCAGCTTCTACTGGCTGGGCCTGTAGAAGCACGTTGACGGCAGCTGGGTCTGGATCGACGGCTGCAAAGACACTTTAGGGTGAGAGTTTATAAAAAACCAACAAATAAAATGATGTTTTGTTTGATGGTGTTTCTGTCTACAGGTTTTGGATGAACGATGTCGAGCCGCTGGGTTTGTATGCGGAGGTTTTGGCCTGGAGGAATCTCTCAGACAGCTGGCTGCCGACGACGTCTTCGACCTTCAGCAAGGTCGTCTGTGAGCAGGAAGCCTTCAGCGTTCTTCACCGGGATATTTACACCATCTGAACTGAAACACATCATAGTTTAAAGTTTCATCATGATATTAAACATCTTGCCTTTCATTGCTGGTTTAAATGACCTCATCTGGTAATTAGAGGAAATAAACTGGATATTGATCCGTTAATGATCATGTATGAATTATATCTGCATTGTTGTTGTTTTAAAAGTATTTTTTTTCTATTTGTCATTACACCTAAAAATATGTAGTCAATATAATAAGCAGTAAAATGACAGAAGAAATCAGTTAAAAGAATCTCAGCATGTAAGATTTTTACAGTTTGAAAACAGTAAATTGTACATTAATTTTATGAGTTGTATTCATGTTCATTTTAGGGAAAACATTTTGTTTTCCAGTAAAACATTTACACTGGCACCATTCTACACTCTAAAGTAAACAATGATGATGTCGTCTAACCATGAAAAAAAAGTTTTACCTTTAATTTTACGGTGGATTTGTTTCAACCGCAGCTGCCGGCATTTTACTGAACAATTTACTGTTTTTATAGTGTATCGCTAGACGTGCTCATGGTTTTCAGTAAATGATTTACTCTTATTACTTTTAGTGTACAAAAAATATGTGAATTATTTGTCCTTTTGAAGATTCTTCATATTTGTGGCTTTCATGAAAATTTAACACAAAACAGAAACGTCTGCATGGAGTGAAGCATGTTAACCTTCTAATATACTGGTGTCTCCAATGTTTTAGTCTTTTCTTTAGTTTTATTTAGACTTTAGTCTTTTGTACTAAAGTCTAGAAAAGACTAAACTAATCTAGTGTGGCAGAGCTGCTCCATCCTGCTGCCACCAGAGGGCGCTATCCTACATGATTTGTTATATTAACAGTTTGAAAACCACTTTTGTTCATAAACTCAGCCTAAAGTAAAGAAATAAATCAGATTAGACTTTATTCACTGTGTAGTGAATAAAAAAAAAGGACTAAATTTAGATATTTTTTGTATCATTTTATGCCATTTATCTATTAGGATTCAGGCTTTATTTCTTTGATGACAGTTTGCTCACATAAATTAAACTTGTGATTTAAAATACTGTAATGTTGTTAAATAGATTTAATGCTATTTGAGGGAAACAATTTCTATCCTGTGTCTGTCTTGAACATATGGAAATTATGAAGTTGTTTATTTATAACATTTGTTTGTAATTAAAGTTTTTATTGACGTTCTGAATATTATCACATATGAAGCACAAACAGAAACAGAAAAGCCTGGTGAAAACCTTCAGTAACTGGGAAAAACTGGCTGTGCAGGAAATCCAGGAAGCTTCATCCTGACGTTTCCCACGGAGGCCGTAGTTCTTCTCAGTGAGTCCAAAGCGGCCCAGTCCCGGTTCCCCTTCATGTTGTTGAGCCCGGCTTCATAGGAAGCATCAGATTAATCCACTCATTTAGCTTGGGACACTTTGTGTCCTCCACTGTCTTCAGATGGTCCTGCATGCTGTCACCAGACCGTAAAGAAACCATCTGGGTGTTTAGCTTTTCGGATCCGTCTCCCACTGAACCAGTTCTGGAGTCCAATGGATCTCTGAGCCGAGCCAAGATTTTACTCCAAAAGGTGAAACCAGAGAAAAGTCGCAGAAACAGGGCAATATGTTCCCACCTCAGTCTGACATTCCCAACATATAATGTCTGCATTATTTCCATTCTGTTGTCTGTGGATCATTAATTATTTCATGTTTTGACAATAGTTTGCATGTTTGCCAGTGGATTCTTCCCTCAACACATCATGTCATGTTTATTTGTTTACTAGCAGATCAAGACAAGGCATGCAAAATCCAAAAACAACAGGACTGGAAAATAGCAAACATGCTAATTATTTTTCCCATTTAATCAGATAAAGACTGAAGATCAAACATTTGATACTAATGTTTGTCCTTCAGCCTTATTTACTTACGGTCTGATGCAAATAATTAGTTCTTGAATAATCAAATCAAAAGTCAGAATAATTCTCCTGAAGTTCCTGTTTTTCAGTGATAAAACCCAGAAACTGTTTCTTGTGAGTTCAGTCTTGGTTCCTGCAGAGGAAGAGGAGACGTTCTTCGCTGCTGGGATCTTCGTCTTGCATCCTCGGCTGCAGTTTCTCATTTTCTCTGAGCGTTTTCAGCCGTCAGTGATGAATATCAACATCCTGGGTAAGAAAGTCCTCAAAAACATTTCAGTTTTTATTATTTTCTGTCAGAAAACAATAAAATATTTATTTCAGTAACCAGATTATCACACACACAATATTGTTATGTTACTATTTAGCAGCGAATTTAATTAGACAGAGAGTCTAATGTGTGAAATGAAATAAAAGTGTCTTTAATTAAAACTGAAGTTTGTTGGGCTGCTTGAAAAAACGGCATTTGGATTTTTAACACCAAAAAGAGCAAAACATCATTTATTTATCTTTATGTCCTTTTAGCCACATTTAGGACTTTAAACATAAATTAATGTGTTATTAATATTAAGGTAGAAAAACAAACAGATATTTAAAACTTTAAGTAGCATCCTGTCATCAGACTTTCAAAATAAAAGTGTTGGGACGTCAACGTCCTGACTGCTTCTAAAATTAATGAATTAAATGTGAGATTTTTGATCTCTAGCACTTTAAAGTAACGTTGGTCCAAAGTATAGATAAGCTTTATTCACATCAAATTATTAACGAAATAACATCAATTTAACACAACCTCGTCAAAAAACAGAAAAATAAACATTTAAAGTATATTTTAAAATTAAAAATTATTGCCAGGCTTTTATATTCTGATGAAAGTTACTTATAATTTAATTTGATCTTATTTCAAGTTTTGCACCAGAAACCAGAAATATTTAAGATTTTATGATTCTGCAGAAACTTTTCAGATTCACATTTAACGTTACTTTAATTCCAGCTCTTTCTTCCTTTTTATGATTTATATTTGATTATTTTCATTTTATATCTAAATATGTTTTCAAGTCTAAAAATTCAACAATGTAATGTTTGGACTGGATTGTAAATAAAAATGATGAATTACTTGATTGAAATGGAAAAATTTTTAATTTAGAAAATTCAGTTGTTTTTATTTAATTCAATAAAACAATTTATTTTAAAATTTGACACATTTATGTTTTCAATATTTACTGAAAACATAAAGTCTCTTATTTATTTGTTTCTTGTATTGTTGTTTGATTGCATTTACTTTGAATGTATTTTATTTGAATGTTTTTTTAAATAAATATATATTTTCTGTGTTTGAAGATAAAATATTGTGTGTCTAAGCCGTAGCAGCAGCAGTTGAATTATATTTGATCTTGTTTTATTCTTTGCAGGTACCAAAGTCCATGATGCCTTGGTGGTTTTTGGGGCGCTGTGTGTCCTGGTGCTGTTTGGGTGCGTTGGGGTAATCTCTTGGGGTAAGTCCTGTTTGTCCTCTGGACAAAGACTTTGGTCATTTCCTTTATGACTTTAGGGATGACAGCCCAGCTGCTCTATGTCTGCACCATCCATTGCAATGTTTCCTGTCTTTATGGGATTAAAGTTAGGTAAACATTTAGATGCAAAAGGAGGAAATATTGAGAAATGAGGCGCCATCATGCAGCGTTGAACACCAAGCATCGATTTATCACTGGAACACACTTCCTGTTTGGTTTTCAGTTTTTATACAAACATGATTTGAACTAAAAGTCCAAGTCAGTTCCTAAATCATTTGTGAATTTCTAAAGATGAGTCATTAATGATTCAAGAAACATGACTCTAGTTCACACTTTGCTTTTTGTCAAACCAAAGTTTAGATGATGATAAAACTCCTTGTTGATGATCAATACATTCAAACATGTTAGATGATGACTGTCAGAAGGTTAAACAAATAACCCAAATTATGAGCAGTTAAGATCCTTGTACTGATTTTCTTTTTTTTTTTTTTTGAATAATTTGTTTCCTTGCATTTACAGGCGGTTGGAAAATAAACCAACAGGATGAAAAACACTCAGAAGACACGACAAATTTAAAGAGTCTGACTGAAGAGCTGAAGAATGAAAATGAAAAATCACAGAATGAAACTGAGAAACTCAGCAGCAAAATGGAGAACCTGAATGGAAAATTAAAGGAAGAAACTGAGAACCTGAACCAGACAATCCAGTTAATGCAAAAATTCAACACCTTCCTGTTCGATAAGTACTGCAACGGCAAAGGTGAGTCCATAACTCTGAGATGTCTTGTCTCTTTGAGACATTGAGACACGTCTTTAAACATCTGGGATGTTTATGAACAAAGAAAGTGAATGAAAAAAACACTGTAAATCAGAATACAGTTTAAAAAATTCTAATAATATCAGCAAACGGACAGGAAGACGTGAAACATTAACAGATAAAATGTCACTGAAGAGCCTCAATACAAACAGAAACTGTTTTTTAGTTTAAATTAATACACTTTTGTTATTTTCTGTCTCCAGAGTGTCTGCTGTGTCACAAAGGTTGGATCTTCTTCAGTGATTCATGTTACTTTCTCAGTAGTGATTCTTTGTCCTGGGATCAAAGTCGTCGTTTCTGTCAGTTAAAATCTGCTGATCTGGTTGTTATTAATAATCAGCAGGAACAGGTGAGCTCTGACACCAATCATGTTACAAATTCAAAATGTCAGTGTGGGACAAAACTTTACCTTCTTGATGATTTTCAATGTTGTAATTAACAGAAATTCATTTATAACAACATAAATAACGGATACTACTGGTTGGGGCTGCAAAGCAATGGGAACAACTGGGTTTGGATTGACGGTTATGTCGACACACTGAGGTAAGAGATTTCACACAGAAAACAAAGTAAAGAAAATTAAGTATTACTCATCATTGCATCTGTTACGTATCATTGTGTTAAAATAGCTCAGTTAAAAGAAACTATTTGATTTTACATTTTCTGATGTTTGTGTTTCTCATTTAAAGGTACTGGAACTATAACTATAATGTTCCATATGCAGTGATGTATCGATCAGGGAATCCCACAGCGAGCTGGTACGCAATATCATCTTCAAGCACATACCGCCCCCTCTGTGAGCTGAAAGCCTTCACAGTGTCTCTGAATTAACTCTGTTGCTGTTTTAAATATATATATATAAAGATTCATTGTTGATTGTTCTTTACTATAATTCTGTTTGATTCAGTCAATATATTTCATTAATTTACTAAATTTACTAAAACTGCTAATCAAAGTGTCATTAAGGTGCAGAAACCCACCAGATGAAGGATTTTAAATAAGATTATCTGAGAATTAAAACAGATTATATTTGATTCATTGACACATTAAATTAAAATAATTAAAGCACTTTTTTTTATCCTACAAGTAAATTATAGATTTTATATGTACTTGATTTTAGTTACAATTAGAAACATTGTTTTATGTTTGTGGGTTTTGTCACAAGTGTAATCTTTGATTTATTCTTAAATAACAATATAATCTTTGGCCTGGATTGCAAATCAAAACCAAAAATTTAAAAAATTATGCAAATAAAACCGTTCAGAGATCAATAAACTTTAGATTCTAATGAATATTTAACACAGCGACTGGAAGATATTTTAAATATACAAATAAAACATAGAAACAATTAATAAAACGGACAGTGGCGTCGAAAAACTGTCCCTGAAATAAAGATCCAGTTGAGACGAAAGCAGCAGAATGAAACTTCTGTCATCATGTTTTTGGTAAAAAGAGAGAAAGAAAAAAATGAAAAACAATAAATCATGCAGTTGGAAATTATTGAGCTCATTTGATTGATTTATTGCATCAGGCCAGTTTGTAATAGTAAAATATTTTAATAATTTTTTATTCTGGTTGTGTCTCTTTGCTGATGTGGCACCAGAATCTCCTCTGTGGGTCAATCAAGGATGTTGTTTCTTCTTTATGTAATCATGTTTTTATTGAATACACTTTATAGAAATCGTTTTTGTGTAAAATATGACATTTGGATTTAATGGGGTCTTTGACTATTTACTCAAATGTTTTTGCTTCTTTTCTGTCGTCACATGATTGTAATCAGTTGATAGTTTCTGTTTTGCCTGCTGAGCTTCATGATAATATTGTTTAGTACAAATAAAGTGAGATGCTGATGTCGTGTCTCAGCCTCTTCATTGTCAGCATCACATGTCTGCAGTTGGACCAGTGATGGTTCACACCACCAGTCTGGGTCCAGATCTGCCTCTGAAAACTAGTTTCCTGACTCGGGTCGGGTCGGTTCCCCTCACAGACCAACAGACTCCACTCTCCTTCTTCTCAGTCACACCTGGTTCTTATGAAACCGGAGTTCAAGTTGCTTTTCTTCTTTTCCTCTCAGATCTTTTAAGCGCTGACACGCTGCAGCTTACATAACCATGTTTATGTGTGACAGTCGTATGCAAACAGACTGAACTGACTGCACCACCCTTTAGGGAGGATCAGTTTGCAGAGAAGAATAAAAAGCTCAACTCTTCAGTTTTTGTCTCTCTTGGTTCCGTCCATCAGCTGAGCTCAGTGGCCCGGCGCCGGACGGTGAACGTAACATCTGATCCACTTGTACGACATGAACAGCTTGTAACATTTGATCATTTTTCAGCATTAAAGCCTGAAACCAAATGTCTTTATTATTCACAGTGAGGGGTTCTGGTCGGGTTCTGGACCTGGTTAACAGACCTGGTGCAGCACAGGTTTCTTTTCAGTGATTAAATTGCTTTGCTCTCAGCATAAGTTTATTATTTTGATGTCTGAACTTGAGTCCATCCTGTCTTAACCCCCCGACAGGATGAGATACAAAATAACAAATATTAGCTCCACTAGAGAACAACAAGATGGAGTCCAGGAGATAATCAGCAGCAGGGATACAAACCGGACCGAGTCCAAATGTTTCCAACTGCAACAAATACATCAGGACACAAAAATGCAAAAATAAATAGAAATAGTTTTTTTTAAAAACATAAATAAAAATGTTTTTATTTTTTAATATTTTCATTATTTTTTAATTAGCCTGACTGCCAGCATCTCTTCTGCAGTGAACATTTCCCAGGCAGGTGAAGTGAGCAGCGTTTGCTCATCCAGCTGCAGAGACGCTCAGTGCAGCAGATTCAGCTCATCATGCAGGGCCGGTCCAGGGTCCAATGAGGCCTTGTGCAGAGTTTGATTTAGGGGCCCCTCTTGCTGCTAAGAACATCAGCACCTTTAACATCATTTCACCATAAACTTAGTAAAATCTGGGAGAAGGCGCCTGGTTTAGTTTGCTGGCCAATCAAATGTAATTGTATTTTTCTAAGATATTTTTATAAACAGCTAAAACTCAAAGATTAATGAGAGCATCAGATTGTTGCAATGGCAACAAAACAATCTAACTATGAAGATTGTTCTTAAAATATTAAATGTAAATGATCATTTAAAATCTTTTAATTTATCTATAGATGAAACCATTGAATGAAATTTATCAGCCTTAGTTCATTTATGCTTTGGGCCGGTTCTAAATGTCATCAGCATCACTCTGTGTTTTTAGATCCACTAACTGATGAATTAATTTGGATTTAACAAAAGTGCAAATAATTGATTCTTGTAATAATTTTATGTATTTTTTATGTGATGTTTTTAAGACTCTAGTTGAGGGTTTAAGTGTCTGCAGTGTTTTCCAGTAACATAATTAGCCAGTAATATTTTACATTTCCTGTCTAATGATCATCTTTTAAACCAAACCCCAGTGGACGCTGTGGGGCCCCGTCCACCGGGCTCAGCAGGTTTTCTGGGCTAAACCCCGTTGATGTTCCTCAGGGTTTGTTTGGAGACAGTTTCTGTTCTCAGATCTGATCAGCTTTTTCCTTCCATCCTGATTTTCATCGTGACATCTGGTACTGATATGCACTTCAGCCCCGGCGCAGCCTGCAGCCATCACCGCCCTGGATGAGAGATAACACTGAAAGGTCGTCCTTTCATCAAACTTTCCCCAAGAGCAATGCAAAGAATGTCGTGACAAAACCTCCCAGGTTGAGAGATGCAGGTTTGATAACAGACTTCGCTGCCAGACGTTTCTTTATTTCCTCTTTCTCACTCGCAGATTCCAGGATAATGAAATGTTTTATTAAACTGAACTAAAATGTCAAGAGACTGGATGAAAAGTAACCAATGGACAAACTTTGTTGCTGTACTTATAAATAAAAACAGGAACATTTTTTAAAGAAAGTATCAACCAGATCATGTGACATCTTTCAAGCTTTTTGTCTTTTTCTTCTGTTGATTCTGATCTGAAGTTTAAAAATTTACAGAAAAGTTTTCTGATCTGGAGACAGAAACAAAACTCCTGAGAAATATTTTAATGATGAAGAACCAATGAGGAAAAAAGTTCTTAAAATGAGGAGAAATTTAGTGAAAATGTCACAAACACAATTTAAGAAAAAGGTATTAGATAAAAAGCTGATATTTATTAACTGGATAAAGAGAAACTGATGAATAATTTCTATATTGTTTCATTAAATTCCTGAGGAAAACAGTGAATATGAGGGAAATTATATCCTGATGCAGCCAGAATTATTATTAAATTAAAGATATTAATATTCACCATGTTTATTTTTAGCTTTTAATCCAACTAACCTGCTCAAATAATTTATTATTTTTACTCAGGAACAAAAATAAATGAACTGAACATGAAATAGAACAGAACCGTTTCTGAATTATAACTTGAAGTATTGGATCCTAATGTACCAAGCAAGTCTGCATATCTGCTAAGAAATAATTAAGTTATAATGTAAACATAAGGTTCTATTATCATTTAATGGTATTATTAAAGATAAACAAACATATCTTTTTGGTTTTGAACATTATGAAGTTCTGATCCGAACAACTCAGACTCAGGAATTCAAACCAGATGTGATCAGATAAAATGACCCAGGTCAGTGCTATGTGACGTGGTTTTGCTTTTTTTATGGGTTTCAAATAAAAGTTGAGTTCAGCTCTCATGAAACCTGATTTTATTTTCCACACCATCAATCAGAATATTTCAGTTTCAGATGATCTTTCATGTTATTCACAGACAAATGTCCAGAAAGGATCTTCTAATATAAGAGACAAAAGTGCAGCAGAAATTTGCATGTGACCCAGATGCAGCGTTTCATGCAGAGTTTCATGCAGTTTCATGCAGAGTTTCATGCAGAGTTTTCATGCGAGTTTCATGCAGAGTTTGATGTTCGCTGATGCATGTCACAGAAATCTCAGCATTTTGTTGATGTTTGGCTTCCTGAATTACTGCCATCTTGTTACAAAATCTGTCCAAGTATTTTAGTCACAGGTCTGGTTTTCCTCAGTTCCACTGGATAAAAAGTGTAAATAAATCAGTAATAAAGTATATTCTTCATCATAATGAGAAGAGTCTGTACAGACCTGATGCTTCATTATGCATTATATTATTTCTGTTTTTACGCCAATATCCTATTGTCTAGACTGTTTAATCAACTGAAGAGTAAAACTATTTCCTGCTGACACGTCGACAACAGAAGAGCATTATTGGCTCTCTATTTACTCTGGACTCTCAAAATAATTCCCCATTTTTTAGTGCAATATTTTTATGAAGATTCTCATCACATAATGTAACACTGAAAAAGTGTGATCCAACTTTTTATATAAAAAATTAAGTCACAAGTGTTCAAGTTAAGTTTATCCAGTAAATATATTAAGTTTATAAATCGTCAAGTTGAACAAAAGGAAATAAATTATGTTTGACAAATTAACTCATTTTAAGCTGTAACTCCATTCTTTTAATCTAAATGGAGCAAAATACATAATTTTAGTGTCAAAGTGGTAAAGAAGGCACATTGATAGGAAGCGGTGTGTCCGCCCTCTGGTGGCTGAAGCAGGTACTACAACGGCAGTGAACGATGACATGTTGCATCAACAGGTTGGAGGAGATTTACTTTAACTTAAAGACTCTACGGTTTTCTCTGGCTCAAATGCAGATCATTTAATTACATTCATTGGAGTAAATCTTTCTCTTTGATGATTTGTGTCATCAAGAAGAAAACAAACTAATTTTTATCTAAAACTGTCAGCACGACTTTAAACCTAATTATAATTAATCTCTCGAGGTCAATGCAAAGTCAGTTTGACTTAAAATCATGCTTGAACGTATTCAACAAACAATAAAGGTTAAACTACACGTGTTCCAAATTTTTATGCAAATTGAATTTAAGTATTATAAAGACTACACTTTCTGTTGAAGTTATAAATGTTATTGTGTGTTCTTTTTTTTTCCTCCGAAGAGTTTTCAAGACGTTAGTGCTTGTGTTTTTTACAGTAGGCAGACAGGAAAGAGGTGGGAGGACATGCTGCAAAGGTCACTGGGACTGGGAGTTGAACCAGCGACGTCCGTGTCTAGACTTAGACTTAGACTTGACTTTATTTATCCCTTGGGAGACTCCCTCAGGAAATTATAGTTACCAGCAGCTCACAGGCAAAATGTGGCACACAGTAAGCATACACAAAAGAATTCAAAAAAAATACAAATTAAATACAAGGTACACAGTAAATTAATAAGAATATAAATACAAAACAAAGAATATAAATACAATTTATTGTATTTATAGCTTTTCGGAGGCCTCCAGGCGTAGGGTGTGCTTACCCCCTGTACCTCCACAGGGGTAATTGTGTGTGTTTGAATCAGTATAATTCATTTTCAGTTTGTCTGGTGGACTCAATAAAGGAAATCTATTTAACAAGGATGATCCACATTATTAAGCAGGCCACAGGTTTCAAGCATATGGGAAAGATAAAGGATCTATGCTGACCAAAATCATCAGATAGTGTCATGCTGTATGACAAGGTCTGAAAACATCAGATTTTTAATGAAAACTGAGCGTTATCATTGTATGGATAAGGGGGAGAAGAGATTTGTGGCTGATTCAGAACAAAGATATGTTGTACAGATAAAAGCATAAAGAGGAAAGTTTCTGTTAGACAAATTCATCGGATTAAGAGAGCAGCTGTTAAAATGTCTTTACAAAGCAGCAACAGTTATTTGAAGCTGCCGGTTGCCTCTGGGTGGAGGATCCTTCAGAAGCTTGTGGTGCATGAACCGACTATTAGGCTCCCCTAACCAGAGCTCACAAGCAGAAACGGTCACACTGAGCCCAGCCTACATGAAGATTCATTTCAAACAGACTTGTTCACTGATGACTGCTGTGCAGATGGACGCAGTAGTGGATTGGTGGTGGACGGCCACCACATCCAACACGACTATGACGTCAGCAAGGAGGTGGTGGAGTCATGCTTTGGGCGAAATCATGGGAGGGAATCATTGGTCGGCCCCTTCAGAGTCCATGAAGGTGTGAAAATGACCTCAGTAAAGAATTTGGATTTTCTGACTGATCGCTTTCTTTCATGTTCAAAAAGAGCCAGACCTTCAGTAGTAAAATCATCTTCATGCATGACAATGCACCATCTCATGCTACAAGAAATACCACTGTATCATTGGCTGCTATGGGCTTAAAAGGGGAGAACTCATGATGTGTCACCATCCTTCTCTGACCTCTGACCCTCTTGAGAACTTTGAGTTTCCTCAAGCAGAAGATCTGAGTCTGGGATGCAGTTCCATATCAAGCAGCATCTTTGGGAAATTTTCTGACAACCTGCAAAGAAATTCAAGCAGAAAACTTTCCACAAACTCACAGTTCAATGGATGTTAGGATTGTGCAGGTGATATCAAAGAAGGTCCCATGTTAACATGTAACTCTGTCTGTTAAGATGTTTTTGATTGAAATAGATTTTCATTTTAGTACATGTGACCACAAAACTTTCAAAGAATGACATGTTGCGGTTCTTTAAAATTCATAAATGCTAAGAAAATCTGCTTTGTGTAATAATTTGGAGTTTTTTATTTTTGAAAAAAAATACTGTTCTCAAGGGGAGCTTTGTTCAGTAAAATTAGATTTCTACTGTAACAGTTCATGATCATCATTTGCATTGACCATTTAAGAAAATCTGAGAAAATATGACTTGCATAATGATTTGGAACATGGTGTATTCACCCTCTTTAAAGTGAGCGAATTCAACAGAGGTCCAGCCAATTGGTGCTGGTCGTCTGAGTGTTTTCCTGTGATTATAGTATGGAACCAGAAACCAGCCGGTTCTGGTTCTGGAAGGTCTGTTCACTGGATCATCAGTATCCCTGGCTACTCAAAAACACTCCAACTAATCAAAGAAAAGTTTAATGAAAGGTATCAGTCAGGGGATGCATGCTGAAACATCTGAGTATCTGTCATGGTGGCCTCTTCTTCTGCTGAACTAGCTGAGGATTTTTGTCAGTCATGCTCTAGCTCTCAAAAACAGCAAGGGGGGAAAAACTGGCTGTGCAGGAAATCCAGGAAGCTTCATCCTGACGTTTCCCACGGAGGCCGTAGTTCTTCTCAGTGAGTCCAAAGCGGCCCAGTCCCGGTTCCCCTTCATGTTGTTGAGCCCGGCTTCATAGGAAGCATCAGATTAATCCACTCATTTAGCTCGGTACACTTTGTGTCCTCCACTGTCTCAGATGGTCCTGCATGCTGTCACCAGACCGTAAAGAAACCATCTGGGTGTTTAGCTTTTCGGATCCGTCTCCCACTGAACCAGTTCTGGAGTCCAATGGATCTCTGAGCCGAGCCAAGATTTTACTCCAAAAGGTGAAACCAGAGAAAAGTCGCAGAAACAGGGCAATATGTTCCCACCTCAGTCTGACATTCCCAACATATAATGTCTGCATTATTTCCATTCTGTTGTCTGTGGATTATTAATTATTTCATGTTGACAATAGTTTGCATGTTTGCCAGTGGATTCTTCCCTCAACACATCATGTCATGTTTATTTGTTTACTAGCAGATCAAGACAAGGCATGCAAAATCCAAAAACAACAGGACTGGAAAATAGCAAACATGCTAATTATTTTTCCCATTTAATCAGATAAAGACTGAAGATCAAACATTTGATACTAATGTTTGTCCTTCAGCCTTATTTACTTACGGTCTGATGCAAATAATTAGTTCTTGAATAATCAAATCAAAAGTCAGAATAATTCTCCTGAAGTTCCTGTTTTTCAGTGATAAAACCCAGAAACTGTTTCTTGTGAGTTCAGTCTTGGTTCCTGCAGAGGAAGAGGAGACGTTCTTCGCTGCTGGGATCTTCGTCTTGCATCCTCGGCTGCAGTTTTCTCATTTTCTCTGAGCGTTTTCAGCCGTCAGTGATGAATATCAACATCCTGGGTAAGAAAGTCCTCAAAAACATTTCAGTTTTTATTATTTTCTGTCAGAAAACAATAAAATATTTATTTCAGAAATCAGATTATCACACACAATATTGTTATGTTACTATTTAGCAGCGAGTTTAATTAGACAGAGAGTCTAATGTGTGAAATGAAATAAAAGTGTCTTTAATTAAACTGAAGTTTGTTGGGCTGCTTGAAAAAACGGCATTTGGATTTTTAACACCAAAAAGAGCAAAACATCATTTATTTATCTTTATGTCCTTTTAGCCACATTTAGGACTTTAAACATAATTAATGTGTTTATTAATATTAAGGTAGAAAAAACAAACAGATGTTTAAAACTTTAAGTAGCATCCTGTCGTCAGACTTTCAAAATAAAAGTGTTGGGACGTCAACGTCCTGACTGCTTCTAAAATTATGAATGAATTAAATGTGAGATTTTTGACCTCCAGCACTTTAAAGTAACGTTGGTCCAAAGTATAAATAAAATTTATTCACATCAAATTATTAACGAAATAACATCAATTTAACACAACCTCCCCAAAAAACAGAAAAATAAACATTTAAAGTATATTTTAAAATTAAAAAAATTATTGCCAGGCTTTTATATTCTGATAAAAAGTTACTTATAATTTAATTTGATCTTATTTCAAGTTTTGCACCAGAAACCAGAAATATTTCAGATTTTATGATTCTGCAGAAACTTTTCAGATTCACATTTAACGTTACTTTATTTCCATCTTTTTCTTCCTTTTCATGATTTATATTTGATTATTTTAATTTTATATCTAAATATGTTTTCAAGTCTAAAATTCAACAAAATAAAGTTTGGACTGGATTGTAAATAAAAATGCTAAATTTATGATGAATTACTTGATTGCAATGGAAAATTATTTAATTTAGAAAATTCAGTTGTTTTGATTTGATTCAATAATCAATTTATCTTAAAATTTGACACATTTATGTTTTCAATATTTACTGAAAACATAAAGTCTCTTATTTATTTGTTTCTTGTATTGCTGTTTGATTGCATTTACTTTGAATGTATTTTATTTGAATGTTTTTTTAAATAATATATATTTTCTGTGTTTGAAGATAAAATATTGTGTGTCTAACTCGTAGCAGCAGCAGTTGAATTATATTTGATCTTGTTTTTATTCTTTGCAGGTACCAAAGTCCATGATGCCTTGGTGGTTTTTTGGGCTGTGTGTCCTGGTGCTGTTTTGGGTGCGTTGGGGTAATCTCTTGGGGTAAGTCCTGTTTGTCCTCTGGACAAAGACTTTGGTCATTTCCTTTATGACTTTAGGGATGACAGCCCAGCTGCTCTATGTCTGCACCATCCATTGCAATGTTTCCTGTCTTTATGGTATTAAAGTTAGGTGAACATTTAGATGCAAAAGGAGGAAATATTGAGAAATGAGGCGCCATCATGCAGCGTTGAACACCAAGCATCATTTTTATCACTGGAACACACTTCCTGTTTGGTTTTCAGTTTTTATACAAACATGATTTGAACCAAAAGTCCAAGTCAGTTCCTAAATCATTTGTGAATTTCTAAAGATGAGTCATTAATGATTCAAGAAACATGACTGTAGTTCACACTTTGCTTTTTGTCAAAACCAAAGTTTAGATGATGATAAAACTCCTTGTTGATGATCAATACATTCAAACATGTTAGATGATGACTGTCAGAAGGTTAAACAAATAACCCAAATTATGAGCAGTTAAGATCCTTGTTCTGATTTTCTTTTTTTTTTTGAATAATTTGTTTCCTTGCATTTACAGGCGGTTGGAAAATAAACCAACAGGATGAAAAACACTCAGAAGACACAACATATTTAAAGAGTCTGACTGATAAGCTGAAGAATGAAAATGAAAAATCACAGAATGAAACTGAGAAACTCAGCAGCAAAATGGAGAACCTGAATGGAAAATTAAAGGAAGAAACTGAGAACCTGAACCAGACAATCCAGTTAATGCAAAAATTCAACACCTTCCTGTTCAATAAGTACTGCAACGGCAAAGGTGAGTCCATAACTCTGAGATGTTTTGTCTCTTTGAGACATTGAGACACGTCTTTAAACATCTGGGATGTTTATGAACAAAGAAAGTGAATGAAAAAAACACTGTAAATCAGAATACAGTCAAAAAAATTCAAATAATATCAGCAAATGGACAGGAAGATGTGAAACATTAACAGATAAAATGTCACTGAAGAGCCTCAATACAAACAGAAACTGTTTTTTAGTTTAAATTAATACACTTTTGTTTTTTTCTGTCTCCAGAGTGTCTGCTGTGTCATAAAGGTTGGATCTTCTTCAGTGATTCATGTTACTTTCTCAGTAGTGATTATTTGTCCTGGGATCAAAGTCGTGCTTTCTGTCAGTTAAAATCTGCTGATCTGGTTGTTATTAATAATCAGCAGGAACAGGTGAGCTCTGACACCAATCATGTTACAAATTCAAAATATCAGTGTGGGACAAAACTTTACCTTCTTGATGATTTTCAATGTTGTAATTAACAGAAATTCATTTATGGCAACATAAATAACCATAGATACTGGTTGGGGATACAGAGTGATGGGAGCAACTGGTTTTGGATTGACGGTCGTGTCGACACACTGATGTAAGACATTTCACACAAAAAACAAATTAAAGAAAAATTAAGTATTACTCATCATTGCATCTGTTACGTATCATTGTGTTAAAATAGCTCAGTTAAAAGAAACTATTTGATTTTACATTTTCTGATGTTTGTGTTTCTCATTTAAAGGTACTGGAACTATAACTATTACTATAATGGTCCATATGCAGTGATGTATCGATCGGGAAATCCCACAGCGAGCTGGGGAACGTCATATTCATCTTCAAGCACACACGCCCCCTCTGTGAGCTGAAAGCCTTCACAGTGTCTCTGAATTAACTCTGTTGCTATTTATATATATATATATAAAAAAAAAATTCCCTTCTCACCCACCGCGGGTGGTTCTTATCCTCTGAGCTCGGGTCCTCTACCAGAGGCCTGGGAGCTTGAGGGTCCTGCAGTATCTTGGCTGTGCCAAGGACTGCTGCACATTTCTGGACTGAGATGTCTGATGTTGTTCCTGGATCTGTTGTAGCCACTGCTCCAGTTTGGGGGTTACTGCCCCGAGGGCCCCGATGACCACAGGCACCACTGTGGTCTTCACCTTCCAGGCCCTCTCCAGTTCCTCCCTGAGGCCCTGGTATTTCTCCAGTTTCTCCTTTTTCCTGATGTTGCAATCACTTGGTATTGCTACATCTACCACAACGGCTTTCCTTTCATCCACTACGACAATGTCTGTTTGGTTCGCCATTATATATATATACATTATATCCCTTCTCACCCGCGGTGGGTGAGAAGGGAATTTTTTATATATATATATATATATATATATATATATATATATATATATATATATATATATATATATATATATATATATATATATATATATATATATATATATATATATATATATATATATTATATATTATAAAGATTGATTGTTGATTGTTCTTTTCTATAATCTGTTTGATTCAGTCAATATATTTCATTAATTTACTAAAATTACTAAAACTGCTAATCAAAGTGTCATTAAGGTGCAGAAACCCACCAGATGAATGATTTTAAATAAGTTTATCTGAGAATTAAAACAGATTATATTTGATACATTGACACATTAAATTAAAATGATTAAAGCACTTTTTTTTATCCTACAAGTGAATTAATTCAATGAAAGATTGATTGTTATAGATTTTATATTACTTGACTTTAGTTACAGTTAGAAACATTATTTTATGTTTGTGGGTTTTGTCACAAGTGTAATCTTTGATTTATTCTTAAATAACAATATAATCTTTGGCCTGGATTGCAAATCAAAACCAAAAATTAAAAAAATTATGCAAATAAAAACCGTTCAGAGATCAATAAACTTTAGATTCTAATGAATATTTAACACAGCGACTGGAAGATATTTTAAATATACAATAAAACATAGAAACAATTAATAAAACGGACAGTGGCGTCGAAAAACTGTCCCTGAAATAAAGATCCAGTTGAGACGAAAGCAGCAGAATGAAACTTCTGTCATCATGTTTTTGGTAAAAGAGAGAAAGAAAAGAGAAAAACAATAAATCATGCAGTTGGAAATTATTGAGCTCATTTTATTGATTTATTGCATCAGGCCAGTTTGTAATAGTAAAATATTTTGATAATTTTTTTTTCTGGTTGTGTCTCTTTGCTGATGTGGCACCAGAATCTCCTCTGTGGGTCAATCAAGGATGTTTTTTCTTCTTTATGTAATCATGTTTTTATTGAATACACTTTATAGAAATCGTTTTTGTGTGAAATATGAGATTTGGATTTAATGGGGTCTTTGACTATTTAGTAAAATGTTTTTGCTTCTTTTCTGTCGTCACATGATTGTAATCAGTTGATAGTTTCTGTTTGCCTGCTGAGCTTCATGATAATATTGTTTAGTACAAATAAAGTGAGATGCTGATGTCGTGTCTCAGCCTCTTCATTGTCAGCATCACATGTCTGCAGTTGGACCAGTGATGGTTCACCACCACCAGTCTGGGTCCAGATCTGCCTCTGAAAACTAGTTTCCTGACTCGGGTCGGGTCGGTTCCCCTCACAGACCAACAGACTCCACTCCACTTTCAGTCACACCTGGTTCTTATGAAAGTTCAAGTTGCTTTTCTTCTTTTCCTCTCAGATCTTTTAAGCGCTGACACGCTGCAGCTTACATAACCATGTTTATGTGTGACAGTCGTATGCAAACAGACTGACTGACTGCACCACCCTTTAGGGAGGATCAGTTTGCAGAGAAGAATAAAAGCTCAACTCTTCAGTTTTTGTCTCTCTTGGTTCCGTCCATCAGCTGAGCTCAGTGGCCCGGCGCCGGACGGTGAACGTAACATCTGATCCACTTGTACGACATGAACAGCTTGTAACATTTGATCATTTTTCAGCATTAAAGCCTGAAACCAAATGTCTTTATTATTCACAGTGAGGGGTTCTGGTCGGGTTCTGGACCTGGTTAACAGACCTGGTGCAGCACAGGTTTCTTTTCAGTGATTAAATTGCTTTGCTCTCAGCGTAAGTTTATTATTTTAATGTCTGAACTTGAGTCCATCATGTCTTAACCCCCCGACAGGCTGAGATACAAAAATAACAAATATTAGCTCCACTAGAGAACAACAAGATGGAGTCCAGGAGATAATCAGCAGCAGGGATACAAACCGGACCGAGTCCAAATGTTTCCAACTGCAAAAATACATCAGGACACAAAAATGCAAAAATAAATAGAAACGGGGAAAATGACCAAACCAAACCTACATCTTGGTATTAATAGATCAGCCATTCGTGCATCAATCAATATCCTCAGGGTTTTGATTGTTAATCCAACTGCAGCTGCTGGAATTACAGGCGGAATCTAAAGTTTTGAAATCAGGGATCATCTCTGAAATTGAAATGATCAGAAATCAACCAGACTCTGTGAGTGAAGGAGGAAAGTCTCCACAGCCTCCATACTCTTCAGTTCCCAGTCAGTGATTTGCATTTAGTTCAGGTTTCAGGTCAGAATTGACTCAGATGGGATTTTAAAAGTTATTATGGATGGAAAAGTTCATTACTTTAGAACTTATTCAGAAAATGAAATCGCTCTTCTTGAGTAAGTATATTTTAATTATGTTGTCTCATTCAACATTTTCCAATGTGATACAACAAAATGTGCATAGAAATGTTTGGTGGAAACATGGATTATTAGAGTTTGATCCCCCAGTGCATCATAAGCCTGGCAGGCTGCAAGGCTTTATGTTTCCCCGCCAGACTGAGCATTGTTTGTTTTGGTTCTTTTTTTAAAACATAAATAAAATGTTTTTATTTTTTAATATTTTCATTATTTTTTAATTAGCCTGACTGCCAGCATCTCTTCTGCAGTGAACATTTCACAGCCAGCTGAAGTGAGCAGCGTTTGCTCATCCAGCTGCAGAGACGCTCAGTGGCAGATTCAGCTCATCATGCAGGGCCGGTCCAGGGTCCAGTGAGGCCTTGTGCAGAGTTTGATTTAGGGGCCCCTCTTGCTGCTAAGAACATCAGCACCTTTAACATCATTTCACCATAAACTTAGTAAAATCTGGGAGAAGGCGCCTGGTTTAGTTTGCTGGCCAATCAAATGTAATTGTATTTTTCTAAGATGTTTTTATAAACAGCTAAAACTCAAAGATTAATGAGAGCATCAGATTGTTGCTCTGGCAACAAAACAATCTAACTATGAAGATTGTTCTTAAAATATTAAATGTAAATGATCATTTAAAATCTTTTAATTTATCTATAGATGAAACCATTGAATGAAATTTATCAGCCTTAGTTCATTTATGCTTTGGGCCGGTTCTAAATGTCATCAGCATCACTCCGTGTTTTTTAGATCCACTAACTGATGAATTAATTTGGATTTAACAAAAGTGCAAATAATTGATTCTTGTAATAATTTAATTGTATTTTTATGTGATGTTTTTAAGACTCTAGTTGAGGGTTTAAGTGTCTGCAGTGTTTTCCAGTAACATAATTAGCCAGTAATATTTTACATTTCCTGTCTAATGATCATCTTTTAAACCAAACCCCAGTGGACGCTGTGGGGCCCCGTCCACCGGGCTCAGCAGGTTTTCTGGGCTAAACCCCGTTGATGTTCCTCAGGGTTTGTTTGGAGACAGTTTCTGTTCTCAGATCTGATCAGCTTTTTCCTTCCATCCTGATTTTCATCGTGACATCTGGTACTGATATGCACTTCAGCCCCGGCGCAGCCTGCAGCCATCACCGCCCTGGATGAGAGATAACACTGAAAGGTCGTCCTTTCATCAAACTTTCCCCAAGAGCAATGCAAAGAATGTCGTGACAAAACCTCCCAGGTTGAGAGATGCAGGTTTGATAACAGACATCGCTGCCAGACGTTTCTTTATTTCCTCTTTCTCACTCGCAGATTCCAGGATAATGAAATGTTTTATTAAACTGAACTAAAATGTCAAGAGACTGGATGAAAAGTAACCAATGGACAAACTGTTTGTTGCTGTACTTAGAAATAAAAACAGGAACATTTTTTCAAAGAAAGTATCAACCAGATCATGTGACATCTTTCAAGCTTTTTGTCTTTTTCTTCTGTTGATTCTGATCTGAAGTTTAAAAATTTACAGAAAGTTTTCTGATCTGGAGACAGAAACAAACTCCTGAGAAATAATTTAATGATGAAGAACCAATGAGGAAAAAAGTTCTTAAAATGAGGAAATTTAGTGAAAATGTCACAAACACAATTTAAGAAAAAGGTATTAGATAAAAAGCTGATATTTATTAACTGGATAAAGAGACACTGATGAATAATTTCTATATTGTTTCATTAAATTCCTGAGGAAAACAGTGAATATGAGGGAAATTATATCCTGATGCAGCCAGAATTATTATTAAATTAAAGATATTAATATTCACCATGTTTATTTTTAGCTTTTAATCCAACTAACCTGCTCAAATAATTTATTATTTTTACTCAGGAACAAAAACAAATGAACTGAACATGAAATAGAACAGAACCGTTTCTGAATTATAACTTGAAGTATTGGATCCTAATGTACCAAGCAAGTCTGCATATGCTAAGAAATAATTAAGTTATAATGTAAACATAAGGTTCTATTATCATTTAATGGTATTATTAAAGATAAACAAACATATCTTTTTGGTATTGAACATTATGAAGTTCTGATCCGAACAACTCAGACTCAGGAAGCCAAACCAGATGTGATCAGATAAAATGACCCAGGTCACTGCTATGTAACGTGGTTTTGCTTTTTTATGGGTTTCAAATAAAAGTTGAGTTCAGCTCTC